CTCATCCCACCATGTTTCCGTGATGGCGGAAATATGGCGTGATCTAATATGCTCAAGCCTTTCTCTTAGCTTTTGCCAACAGAAACAGAATCTAGATCACAACTAAGAAGTGTAAGTCAACCTACAATTGAGACAAATCAGTATTATCTTCACCTAATGATATTAATACTTGCCTGCTAGTATATGTTATTTGTATACAGTAATTCACATGAATAATTCTAACCTATTCAGGAATCATGGGCCATTAAGCTATGGACCTGATGACAAATAGCAAACAACAAGCCTAAGTAGACTAACTGAACTCAAGGAGTCTCTTTGTGGGGTCAAATGTTTGCAGGATTTCTCCTGTATTAACAGAGCAAAGCCAAGGCGGCCAATCTTGCTAATGAATGTTGTGTTTAAGGACATGGAAGAACAGCCACTAGACAGAGATCACTAAACTCATTTTGTATGTAACATATTCTAGAAGGGACATAGGTCTTCCGAGGTGAAATCTGAGTGCAGGAAAACACCATGCTGTATTAATGCTTAACTGTAATCAGCTAAAGACATAGCACATGCTCAGTTTACTGGGACATTCCACTTTAAGTGCATGTTAAACTAATATTGACTTTTCCACTAAACCAAAATCTGTTATTTGTGCCCAGAAGACTGAAAAAACAATAGACGTGGGAAGCAGAAGAATTAATCTTCCTGACCTTTTCTTTTTTTATACCTTTGGGAGTCAGTCTTTTTTTTGTGTATCTAATAGGGAATGTGAGCTATTCACTTGCAATGATTCTTAGATTATGTAGAAGTACTTTACTGTGGTTTTTTTTTCTTTCTTTTGCATTCTCCACATTCAATAAACTCCACAGAGTATTATTAATAATATCTTTAAAACATTATCTTTTTACCTGTATCCATTCTCTGATAGAATCTTCCCCTGGGGTCCATCCATTCTCAGGGTAATTTAGCCGGGACCTTTCTGAAGACCAGATAGCGCTGTACTGGGAGGAGACAGTGATTTGATCAGAGTGAATTTCTCCTGACTCCATACCTAGTGGTTCCATGCATTGGAAATCTGAAGAAAAATAAATTACCATCATTATTATGGTCAGTTTTTTGATTTAGATTTTGAATAATGAGAACGTTTTCCTGCTTTGAATATGAATATCTAAAGAATTTATTTTTATGTGACTTTGAATTCTTTAGCAACTTTAAGTGAGGCAGTATTGGGCTTATGGTGTCATTCTTAATACTGTCATTTGAGTTGCCATGGCAATTCCTGCAATAATAATGCTATACAAATATTTTTAGCCCAGCATTGTAGCCATTTCAATATAGGACAATAGAATTCTCTTTTCTAGGGTAGCACAGGCACTTCTGTGGATTCATAATATAAAACAACGTACGTTCAACCCATAATTATGCACAAAGCCAGGAAAGGCAAACCAGATGACTGTGTAAAATGATTTTATGTTAAAACTATTTACTCCAGTACAAAAAGTATAAAATGTTTTAAAAATATTATTAAAATTGTAGCCATTCTCTCTTGATCCTGGATACTGAAAAGAAACAGATCAACAAAATTTGAATCCGGGCCAGAAGAGTATTGACCTAAAGGAATTACCACCTCTTCTATAACATGCTGTATTTTAAATGAGTTGATCATCTCCATCCAATCTCTTTTTGTTGACACAAAAATAACCAAGATAATTTAGAATCAATTGACAACACAGTCACTATAGTGAGTTCAAAGTCTGATAGGGCATGGAGACTAAATTCTTCTCTCACTCTTCAAAAATAAAGGCTCCAACCTCCACTGAAGCAAGAGAGGCAGGTGGCTTTAGATGGATCCTCACACCCAGCTGCTCATGCACCCCTCTGTCAGAGGTTTACCAACCCCATTGTAAGGGCAGGAGAAAATAATATGTCCCTATGTCACAGTATATTAATATAATTCATTCCGTCATTAACAGTTTAGGGTAAAATACCAGTGTGTGAAGAGGAGGCCCTGACATTTGGGTACACAGTCCTTTTTATCACACCTTCTTTGCAGCTGATGTAATTCTAATGAAGGGTTAGGTGATGAGCTGAAGGTTTCAAAATCTATGAGTTGGAAAAATGAGCTTTTAATAAGCAAAGTTCTGATTTTTCAATGAAAACTAAAATATTCTGAAAAAAGGAATGTTTAAAAACTTTTATCTGGGATCCAAAAACTTATATTCAGAAATGCTACCAGGGTACATCATAGGAGTTGTAGTTAGGGTGCCCCATAACTGAATTATCAAGCTTGTTGCCAAACTGCATTTCCCGTGATGTACCACCCTTTCCCCCATTTCTGTGCTGCTTCAATGTAGTAGGGGCCTTGGGTGAAGTACTGAAACTGAACTACTTTAGGGTAAGACTCAAAGTAAATTAACTTCTGCTTGGAATCAGAAGGAGAGTCATAAGCCACTACAAAGAACTCAAGAAATGGTAGGTGGGAGTCATATTAAAATATCTAAACGGTAGGTGTCTAGTTTGATCTAGACGTGGGCTTTCCCGGTAGTCTACTGAGAGGGACAAGTACCTCCTGGGGACATCTCATGTGTCTGAGATAAGTAGGCTGAGTTGTCCTCTGGAGGTGACCCTCTCTGTAGTGACAACAGGAGGATGACTGTGGGGAGGTGGACATGGGGACCCAAGCTGGTTGTGCTAGCTAATGAAGGGGTAGGTGCAGCACCTACATAAGGAGAAGCCAAACTATTTGGAGGTACAGTCTGAGAGAGATGGAGGAGGATGCTTCCCATCCACAGAGGCTGGGGTATAGCCCGTTCCCTCTTCCTGGCTATGCACGTACAAGAAAGCTATTAAAGAGGCGAGGGGCAGAGGAGAGGTGGGGAGTAACAGGGATAATTTCAGTTTACTCATTTTTCTTTTGTTCCTTTTTTGACTAAACAATCAAATCTGGGTGAATCTGCTCAAAATTCAGTAAGTCGCAGAAAGGAGAGAGAATTTGATTTAAAGTGTGTGTTTTATCATCGAGCAAAGCAAGGAAATCTGCAAGGACATGGTGTAACATAGCCCGTTATTCTCCTGCATCTCCCTCACTTTGTTTCATTCTCTGCCCAAAGGGTAAGGAGGAAAATGAGGCAACTGGGAAAAAAATACAAGACAGAGAACAAAGCTTAGATAACTTATGAAATGGTTTAACAAGAGCACATATATAAAATGGGTTCTTTTTATTCAAGAAATCGATCATCAAAGCTTATTCCATGTAATAAAAGAAGACTTTGGATAGTGCATTCATTGTTCATGTTTCATTGTTTTAATACAAGTGTTCAATTGCTCAAAAAACCTGCATTTCCTTGGTCAGCACAGTTTTTCACAATAATTATCCCAACTTCCTGGCAATACTGCGGAATAAAACTGTAGGGAGAATTCTGCTTCTTGCACTGCTTTTCAAAGGGCAGCTGTTATTAAAAAAAAAAAAAAAAAGCAAAAAGCAAAACAAAACCAACCCTTCCCCACCATCCTATTTATTTAAAGTTTCTTTAAAGTTTCATGCAACACCTGGTGTGCAAGAAGACATAACAGAGAATATTTTCCAAGAAGCTCTGCAGGATAGATAAATACTGACCTTCTGATACACTGCTCTGCGACACGCTGTAGTTTGCTGAGAATCCCTCTTTTGCTATTGCACTGTCGGTGTAAAATACCATTGAAAGAATGCCTGTTGAAGACCGGACACGTCCTGGGTTGTTCTGCCCACAATAACGCCCTATGTGCGGGCCAACTGCAAAGAGATAGGACATAATAGTAAACTACCAGTTCTACTACAATAATAGATGCCACTACAACAGCCTCCTAAAGAGAGTCCCTCAGCAGATAACTAGTGACCCTCTACAACAGTTCAAAATCACATTCTCATCAATAACTTAGCAGTGAACAATAAATTGCTTACCCTACCCTAGTAATCTTACTTCTAAAATGTTCCAGATAGCACTTCATAAACCTCTGAAAATGTAAAGAACCAGCATTTCAGAAAGTGTCCTTTAAAGTGTGCAGAGAGGGCAATGATGCACAAAATTACATGTACAAAATACCAAAAGTATTTTCCAAAGTGTGATTGAAGCACCCATTTATGACAAGGACATCTGAATGGCCTGATTTGCCCACCCAGTCTACAAGATGCTCTGGGAATAAGAATTCAAACAGCACCTTCCAGGTTTTATGCTCAATACTGCAGATAATCTGTTAATTTTCTAGCGAACTTAGAAAAACATTTTTGCACTCATATTTAGGCTATGACCAATAACTCTTTATCCCCTTCTATTTAGGCTTTCAGCACACCTTCATGGATCTTTTGCCCATATGCTCAATATTAAAGAATACTGTAAAAGAATTCAAGAGGAAAATTTAATCCTTTCAAAAGAGCAAGGATTTCTTAAGTGTATCTCTATGTCACAGAACACACACACATACACACCTACACGATCTCTCTCAGTGTTAATAATGTATAAACCAATTTCTGATATTTTTTCGGATTTCCTGTGCAGTGAGATAATCTTTTTCCTTAATTAAGCTACTCAATTCACAACCAACATATGTGGCCTTCTAGCACTTGAGCATTCCCTACAGATAGGTCCCTAGACTATTGAATAGTGGTACGTCTGTGCTTACAAACAATAAGAAAAGATAATGCTAAAATCCATCCATGGAGTCAATCATGAAAATAATCATAAGACATCATTCTAATGCTTACACCACTGGCTTTCCAGGCTTAAACTAACACCTTGTCATTTCTCTAGGAAGTCCATTTCACTTTCAGTTTAAAATAGAAAATGTTTACATATCCTAATTATTCACAGTTCGAAGAAAATCCTCAGCTAACATAATTTTGTAGTCATTTACTGGCATTTTCCAACAAGTAAAACAGTTCCAGCTTGGAATAACTTTATTATGTAAGCTACACATTTCTGCAAGGCCCTAGAGTTGCCAGAAAGAGAGAGCTCAGGTGTTACAGCTCTTGCTGCCAGCATGTGCTTTTCTATCCATATTCTGGCCATAGTTCGTCTTCAGTTGCCTTGGCAATCCCATGGCATTTAAAATACCTGCCAGTTCAGCCCTTTTCCACCAGCGTTGTTCAATGCAGTATTGATAGAATGAAACACCCTATAGAGGATATGAGTTGAATTCTTCCTCATCCTAGAAATCATTAAAGCTTTACAGTTTTATTATTTGGAGTGAGCAAGTTGTTTTAGACTGTTACCATTAGTGGCTTTTTAAAAACACAAAATAATTCCCCCACTCCAATTGCTGCGGTTTTTTTTTTTCCTTTGCATTTTCTATGTGCAAACAGCTCTGATCCTGCTCTCTCCCGTGATGGCCTTTCAACATTATAGCTGCTGATGTTGCTCTGAACTGCAAGAAAATAAGGAGGATAAGGCCACCATGTTATGGCACTCTGAGCCTCCCTCCTCCCATTTCCTGTAGGGAAGCATCTTTGAAATGACAAACAGAAGAGAACTTTGTTTAAAGCAGACAGGCTTTAAGATTCCCCATGACTCACTGGTTTATAATTTTTAAGACATATTTAGTGATTCTGCATTTCAGTTTTCTACAGATTGGCCTTGCTATCACAGTACTATTTCCTTTGCTAGCTGTGTAAATGTAAGAGTAAAAACTTGTGGAATATGACACAAAGACATATTGAATTTTTTTGCACAACATGTAAACCATAGCCTACTGAGCTAATACGGTATTGATCTGAGCACAACTGGATGAAATAGAGATTCTTATTCTTCTCACATAAATAGCTAACACAAAGTTCTTTTTTCCTTTCAAGTCTAAAAAAAATTTTAAATGACAATAAATTATCAAATGTTTCAGGTGTCACCACATCAAATAAATGCTGTTTGGGGAACACTGTCTGAGCAATCATTCAGGGGATGATATTGCTGTCTGCTTAGGTAGACTATGACACTGCTTTTTTTTAACCATCTTCCTGACCCTTCCTTATGAACCGAGATGGGCTTTCATAATAGACCATATACAGTTCCAAATGGGAATTTTAGGGTGGCAGGTGTTGAAAAGTCTTTAGGCCCAGAAAGCTCTTTGCAACCTCTACTTGTAGACCATCATGTCACTTTGTCAGCATCCCCTACTCCAAATATGAGTCACTTGGAAATGTCCTCACTCAAGGACACTTCTACATTACCCGCAGAACAGAGGCATTTCGGTGAGCCAACTATTTCATCTGACTGCCCATGCTGTAGCTATTTCTGGGACCTTGGCTCCTCTTTCCACCAGCATTGTATGATACAGTGGAAAACTGAGTAACTTGCAGGTTAAAAGATGGAAGGGCAACTAAGAAACCTGTTTTGCAAGCTTTTCCCAACATGCAGGGTCTAATTCTAGAACTTGAATAAATCCTTGATTATTCTTAACAAGTATGTTTGAAGGTTTACAGGATCTGAGTGTGGAATGTATAGAATATGGTGGTTTAAGACTAAACAGAAGCCTTATCCTTACTAATTCTTCTTTTCTTTTCTACTGTTTGCCCTTCTGGACAGAGTATCAGTATCTCGAAATTTTGAGACTTATTGAAATACACATTTGCCCATCCAGTTGAAATCTTAGCTTTTCGAAATCAGTTAAAAAAACCCCAACAAAACACAAGCAAGGAAAAATGGTATATCAGACTTCTAAAATATTAAAAGAAATGTTATGTTAACTAGCCATTTTACTGAATTTTAAAGCTGGTCTTTAAAAGTATGCTAGTGTGCTGTGGACAGTATTTTCACAGTAGTATGGTTGTTATTGACAAAACATTTGCACACAATTTAGGATGCTAAAAAGAAAATAACTGAAAAATGAATCCCATCTTCACAGTCCAGTAGTCACCTACACTGAGCTTGTGTATATGCTTATATCTCAACAGCTTCTCACAAGAGTGTAGTAAGCAACTGCAACAGAGGAGAAACACACCTAGATTAATAGCAACCTTCATTTGCACTGATGTTAATGACTGACGTAAAGCATTCTGTTTTGCTCTGTAATTCAGTGGAAGCTCTTGTGGTATTGACTGAAGCAGCAATGCTTAGCCTGTGGTTCTCAAACCATATGTAAACTTCTTTAAATTACTTTTGAGCCCCTAGTAGACAGTCTATAGAGCTTCAAAGAGAGCTGCATGATGAATATGTGCAATTCATCACTTAAGCTAGTCCTGGTTTTGAGTGGGCTATTTTTCTTCAAAGTCATCAATGGACTGTTCTCAGTTGAGGCTGGCTGAGGTATACTTGTGCCTTAGGCAAAGACATTTTTGCTATCTAGTTTATTCATTCAAAATCACATACTTCTATTCTGTGATCTACTGACTCTCCTGCTCCAACTCCACCTGTTATCTCCTTCAAATCATGGTCCCTTTTCTGCACAATATTTGCAACATGCACCTGTAGTTATCAAACATTCTCCAACAGAGTTTGTTTCACTCATTGCTTTGTTTTAAAGACGAGACCAAAGGGTGCCCTTGGCATGCAGTTATGCAGAAACAAAATGCCAGGTTTGAGGCATTCCTACTAGCAAAACACTTACACCATTGTTTAACTTCAAACCCGTAAGTGTCCTTGGTGAATACCTTTTGAATTCAATCTAACTGTTCACATGCTTCAAAGATAAGCACATGTTTTGCAGAATCAAGACGCAAGTACTCAGCACTTGCCAGATTCAATCCACTAAAAGGACAACCGGGTAGGCTGAGGACTCCATGATTGTGACAGAGCATTTCAAGATTAACGTCTTTGTGAATGACTGTTACAGTTGCTGGCAAATTGTCTAACAGAAAATTGTTTTCCATGAGAAAAATGGCAATTACGTAGAAGCAAAATGTAAATGGAAGCATACTGATTTTGACATATCCTTTTAAACATCATTGTGAAAATTTGTTTAAGAGAACATTTATCTTTTTTTTTGTTTTTTTGGGGAGGAAGGAAAAAAGTCACAACTGCAGCAACAGCTGCGTTGCTGTGGAGCAGGGGGTTTGAACTGAACAACATAATTTTTTCCAAACATTTAAAAAATCCTTCTACTTCATGTTTATATCAGTGTAGTGCAATGGGGGCTTTAACCTCTAACACAACTGGGCATGTGAGCAGCAATGCAGTACAACAAAGCAAAACAGCTTCCTTTTTTATGGCTATGTCTATATCACTAAATAAAAGCAGGCTAGGGACTACCCGCCGGACCTGCAGCCAGTGGCCAGGGACTGTTCCTGGGACCAGACTAACAGTGTGACACAGCTCGGTCCCATAGGGCTCTTCCCTCTGAAGCAGGATGGCTGTGTCCTGTTGGGAATGACCCTGGCTTTCGCTGTCCTCCAAACCGTGCTCAGGAATCGCTTGGAAAAGTGCAAACCGACATGGGCTAAAATTGTGCAAGGGAATATGCCAGCAATTAAGAAGTACACACAACCATGCCTTGGTCCCGTTTTAGTTAATAGTGTAGATACAGCTTCAGAATGTTTTTTCACGGACTAAAGGGAAATGGACAAATGGCTGAAAGACTCACCCTGGGTGAGCCTCCCTTCATCAAAGGCAACCATACTATCTAATATTTTTCGGAAATTTACTACATCTATGTGGATGCAAATTAGATTTATTTTGCCTTCCTTTCTCCTTTTTTTTTCCACGATTATCTGGAAATAGATTCCAAGATTATCTTTTTGATATCTGGAAACTTTTAATTTCTATCCTCAGTTTATGGCCAGGTCATACCAGTAGCTTCCTGCTCTTCAGTTGAAATAGTTCTTCCCGCTCTCAGGGATTCATCCTGTGATGCATTTATAGAGAAGCAATCATATCCTCTCTGCCTTTGTTGTGTTAAATTAAGAGAGATTGACTGCTGGCTAAAGATCATCCAAAAGTGAAATGATGCAGCAAACATTTCTCTACAACTGCCGCAACCTCCAATAGTTTGTATCTACGGAAACATTTCTTTCTAGTTTACAAATTCAGTTGAATATTTACAAACATGTAAACACCCTTATTGGATGTCAGGATCATTTTGGGTTTAGACAGTTTGTGAGGGAATTGGAAGACTGATAATGCCTATTGTTAATTGCTCTTCCGTATGGCTCAGTGACTTTCTTGAACCAGGAAATTACCACTTTGAAGCCCTCTGACACTAACAATAATGCATTTCTTTTTGGTGATATTACACATAAGTTGATTGATTGGATCATCTTTTCACATGTCAGTTTAAATGCAAGTTCTACAGGAGTTCAGATTTGAAAGATTTGGCCTATATACAAATAAACCTATTATTAAATGTTCCAGACATCATTATTGTAGTGTTAGAATACTGTTTTCCTAACTGAGGCATTAAATACTAAATAGTCTTTCAGCTACTGTTATGGCTCTTTCTTCACTATTTATTGGAGTGGATTGAAAAGAGCCATGATAAACCCATTAAGCATAAAACAAAAAGGAAAAACAAATATATGTTAAAAAGCACATACCTATTTACTGCAGCATCAATAAAAGCTTTAATTAAAATTATATTGGGGATTTATCTAGGAAAACAGGCAAGTTTAAATGTCTTATTAAAATATGTTCCTTAAGTTATATGTTTTCATTTAAATGAAATATTAATGTAGGATTAGCAGTTTGTAGAAACTGCCACTGCTGTTCATAAAAGCAAAGAAAATATCTATTAATATGGGTTATCACACCAGTGGAAAACTGAAATAGCTGTAATTAGTGCCCAACACAAACAACATAAATCCTCAGTTGTTGAATTTTGCTACAAGTTACAAAATTAAGAAGAAAAAGGACAGCTTCAAGATGCTTCTCTTTATCAGCTTATGCCATACATAGAAACAGTGAAAAGGGCATCACAATCAGTTTTACATATCTGTTTGCACAATTCATATAGGCATTTGGGCACCCTAAAGGTTAGGCGTTCAGCTTTAACAGTCCCTTTTAGGCTGGAGCTGCAGCCTATCAAGCTGGGGTGCTTGGAGAACTGGTACATAGCTGCCCTACCTAGAGGGGACTTGGATCTTGCGGACCTATTGCCGTATATGAAAAAAATAGAGAAATCATGCAGCTATTTTGTTCGTCAGTCTCAGTGTAAAACAGGGATATGAGACTGGGTGGAGGGTGAAATGGGGGCTCACTGGCTCTGTAGGCTTAGCTAATATCTAGCTATGCACTTAGTGAATTTGCAGAAGGTCAAGTGTGGTCAACAACTAAGTGGAAAATTACTGAGATGGCAGAGAAGTAAGTTCCAGAAGGGTACCCAACAGACCCACCCTCACACATGTGCCCAGCTAATCAGAGATTATAAATTAACAAATTAAGATAAAACCTTTGGATTTACTTATACTACTGGAAGAGAGAGAACTATAAGCGAGGAACCCTGCAGTGCCCGATCACCGAAGCCACCTGAATGAGTAACTCAAGGACTGTTTACTGACCTGGGTAATCATTTAGTCACTATGATTTCAATTGTATGGATACCACGTTTTCTCTGGCAAAGAAATTCTCTGCTTTGACAGCTGGTCTGTAACGCGGTTCCTCCTCAAGCCGGAGGGTTAGTACCTGAAGTCCAGTTTGTGCAAGTTGTTCGAAATTTCTGGACAATATTCATGTGTTAGCTGTGAAAGTTTGGGGACCCATTATAAGGCTTCATATTTAATTTATTTTTAACATAGGAGGTCCATCACATATTTCCTCTAAAAACAGAGGTTTCCCCCAAGCCAACAGTTCAAAATTAAACATATTTCATTAAAAAAATCATTCACACTGTGATGTGCTTTACTGAATAAATTTACAGAGCATTTTCCCCATTTCTCTTTAATTCAACTCGTTTTACATAAATCAAGCAAGGACGTCTCTACTATGACATTTAAAAAAATGAGAATATGCCTTCTGCAGCCCACTTCGGAGTAATGGTTATGCATATCACAGTCCATTTTTCTCTTACCATCAGGGAATCCATCCCAGATTTCCAATCGGTCATAACGACAGAAGGCTCCCCCTGGAGTGTTTGAATCAGGTTCTAGCTCAAAGCTTTCAAATTCCAGTATAATCTCTGACATCTTTGGTGCAAAGATAATATAAGTGCATTCAAGGCTATTGGGATATTTTTCAGGGAATCCAGGGGACTTTATCACTCCACTTGATGAAGTAAAGTTTCTGGAACATTCAGGTCCTGTAAGAGAAAGAGAAAAATCACCTGGGTTAACACTATGCTACTAAGCAAAGTAGTTAGCTGGAAAACAAATTAGGTCGTATTGTCTCTCCAGCAGCAAAGGTGGCTTTTCAATGAAACACCTCATTTTAATCACTGTATTAATCATTCAGCCAGCTTGTTTCTATTATTGATAGTCAGGTTTTAAAGCGCAATTCGCATATACTGTCTGATCTCCAATTTTCAATTTATATGGAACAATATGAAAACTTGTACCAGCTCTAGAAAAAATTATGACAAATACAAAGTCATGTGGGAACAATGAAAGTGTAAGCTGCAGAAATCTCGACAGAGCCCTAGAGAAATAATTACAGCCCCTTCAAGCTCAAATCTTTAAATCTTACGGCTGACAGGCTTTTATTGGTGAAATACAATTTTTTACGAAAGCGGGTGAGTGAATTCAGCAGAGGGAGTAGTGGTTTCAGATTCCTGGAGCACTGACTCAGTAACTCTGCCAGATGTGACCTATGCCTCCTTGACAAACTAAATGTGAAAGGTAATTCGTACATGTACCAAGGGTGAGTGACTCATTCTGAGTGGTGTTGACACAGGTGCACCAGTAAAATGTTGCTGTTAGTGCAGGCATGATAAACTGTGTGATTACAGGCAGTGTTGCTAGAAGTCACCTAATGTCAATGTTGACACACCAGCTTTCCCCGATGTCCCCACCATGGCATAATGGGATGCTCCAAACACTGCTCTTGGTGGAGCAGGAAAGCGGCAGTAAAGATGCAAGGGTACAAAAGGCCAGATCACTGGATCTGTCTTTGTGAATTCAGGGGGCTAAAACTGGAGTCCCTCTCTTGTTGACAGATCGCATTTCTCTTTTATGTAGGTCCCTCAGGAATCCTCTCCGTGGATCCCAAATCTGCAGGTGTGCTCAGAGCCAGCCGCAGGCACTGCCCACACATCCTCCCACAGGGTCAGCATCGGTACCCCTCTCTTTCTGACTTTTGACACTCCCAATTTAATGGAAAGTGATTTACAGGATTTGGTGCACCGGTGGATAGCAGCTGACCTGCGGAGTTTGGGTAGGATGACTCAGATGAAGGTCTTCGGACGTGGAGTATAGGCAGGACACAGGCGACAGAGTTTGGTTGCAACAGGTTGTGCTGGAGGATGAGTGTGTGCGAGGTTTTGATTTGGATGAGGATGCCCAGCATCCTTAGAGACTGTAGTCAGGAGCCTTAGAGGATTTCCAATGCTTATCACAGATCATTAAAGGAAAACAGTCTGGCTTGTTGCATATATGAATACTCTTATTTCACCATAGAAAATGTTTTCCTTGTGAATGTGCCAAACATATTGCCCCCCACAGATTTGGCCACCTCCCAGCTAAATTCAGCATGCAGGAGACAGGTCTGAATGAATTTAATCGGTTCAGGTATTTTTGTCCTTCAACAGACACTGATAGGAAATGCTTGAGCTATCACATCAATATTCAGAGCACTTCATGGCATATTTTGGAAGATGTAGATATTAATGCTCACGTAAGCTGACCCATTCCAATTTGGGAAATTACATTTTGCCTGTAATTAAATCGCCCCCTTACACATTAGTCGGATATTTCTCTTCTCTCCCTGTCATTCCCTTGTCTCCTTGTCATGTATGGGAGGGTTATATTCTGGTTGTTGCTCCTCACTCCCACCAGTAGCTGCTGTTCCAGGATAAAATAGCTTTGCTATGCCATTCATAGCATAAAGTGCTCTGTACTCCTCCTGGAATCCAATAAAAGATGCAATATAAAATGTAAGCCAGAATCATTATTGCTTTATTAAATACAGTCATATCCTGGCTCTGTGAGTGCACAATCGTCAGGCTCCTCACACTCACACATGGTATCTCAATACCAGCTTGCTTTATTTTAAACATGTTCAAGTCAATCTGGTGCAAGAAACAAAAACTGTTTTCAGAAGAGCTGCCTCACTAAAATGCCCTCCACAGATTTTGACCCTTTATTGACACTGTGAGGGAACTCCAGGAATTAAATCAACACTGAGGCTACGAGGAACTCCATGGGGCAATGTTCACGGAAAACTGGCAGAAAAGGTTCTAGCAGAGACCGGACAGAACAGATACTTCTGAGGTGGAGAAACTACATGTGTGCTTGTGTATGAAATAAAGGGAGAGAGATGAGCTGAAGGAAAGAGAGAGAGGAGGTAAAAGAAAGAGCAAAGAAAAAGAGATGACACTGGAGATAATTTCACTGGCTTTCGGTAGGTGTCACTGAGCCAGAAAATAATTTGCCTTCCTGGTTGACACTGTCTTTTCCTTCAGTTTACACCATAAATTTAGTTGACTAAAGTTAGTAATGTTGAATGTGAACGATGTAGATCCTCTTCTAGTGAATAGGCTACTCATCCATCCTAAGATAAGCTGGCTGACGGAGCCAAAATGATGAACACTTCAGATGGGCTAAACGTTGGGCAATATGGGTTTCATGTTTTAGTCTGGAATTTGACTTCTTCAGTGTCTTTCTGGCTAAGGAGCTGGATGAGAAGTAAAAGCAGCTCCTACTCTCAAAGCCCATACTACATTTATCACAGTCATTACGTGTGCTGGTGTCTCCTTACGATTTTCATGGCGTGTGGCATTTTAAGCCTCAGGTTTAGAATTCAGCTTAGGACACAGGTAACATAATGCAGTTTTTCTTTTCAAAAACTAAGGATGCTCTCACAGGAATAATGCGCAAAAATATACTGTGTGCTGGAATACAGCTCAGCCTTCAGCTCAGCACCACAGGACCTGGGGTTTGGGATCATTTTAATACTTCTCATACCTGGGAAACGATGAGCTATGTTGTGAATATGCTAAAATGAAGCGTGTTAGTCTGGTGTGAGCAACTGAGCTTCACCTGCCTAACAGGGTAAACTGGTCAGCTTTATTTGATACAGAAATTAAAATGTAAATTTGGAATAGCGTATATGCATTAACTCAAAAGTTAAAAGGGCTGTGTTCCCACAGCAACTATAACTTGCATCCTTTGTGTACACACAGCATTTCTAACAGTGTACCTGGTGATAACTTTCCTGCCTTAATATACGGTTTATGTGGAATGAACTAGAGTTAAAGTTGCTCTGGGAGCCATAATTTTGAGTTTCCTGACTTCTGTGTGTGTAAAATCACATTCATAATGCCATCTTAACATGGTTAATGTGTATCACTGAGAGATGTAAATGACCACACACGGGAATAAACACAACATTCCTGTCAGAGCTCTGAGTTGGCACTACACTATTAGGAAATAAATAAAAGCTTTTCTCTTGAAAACGCTCAGTTACTAAAATAGATTGTTTCACAGGTCATTCTTTCACTTGTTCTTGTGTTTCAGCCTTGTTCTTTATGAAAGATGGTACTGTATATATAAACACTGAGAAACTTCAGGACTCAGTTTCAAGAGTTTAGCCTCATAAGACACCAAAATAAATAGAGATTTTTTTTCAGGAAAGCTTGGTGTCATTTGGATGCTGAGTTCTTTCAAAAAATGTGACCCTGAAGGTCACCGAAAGAATTTCTGGGAGCCAAGAGTGGATTTACAGACAGGGAAGATGGTGAACAAGAGGTCTGTGGCCCCAATTAGCACTGTGCAGAGCAGTGATAGCATGCAATAGAAAAGAGACTTCACTACTGTGCTTCTCCTCATTAACAGTACAGCTGCCACCAAGCGCGTGTGCTGAACACAGCTGAAAATCTGGCTCTGGTTTAGGTGCGTAAAAGGGACTTGAACTGGTTCTGAAAATGGGGCACTGTCTGGGAGTGGTGTGTATTGGAAATTTGGAGTTTTGAGCTGCTTTTGTGAATATGACCCTAAACATTGATGCTGAAGTCAATATTTTTTTCTATAAAGTTAAGCTTATTGTCTTTCTGCATATTATGAGTTTTGGTCCTCTATTCTCCAGGCATGGAATATATGAATTATTCACATCCATCCAGCTATAGGGAAGGCGTATGCCAAAAAAAAAAAGATCTTACTCCCCTTCTAGCTATTGACTCAGAAAGAGAGTTATCAAAGAGGGACTGTCTACAGGTCTAGTTAATCCTGGACTGTTTGTTTCTCTGGGCTTTCTCTGTGCCCCATACAGCTGTCTGTGCTCACCGGCACTGAACTCCTGGCACAAGCATCCAGCAGGACATGCCTGTGAACAGTGTGAGCTTCTCCTCTCCTTTACCTCCCAAACACGATTTGTGAAAGCAACAGCAATATCATCTGCTGCCCATGTGTACTCTGGTCCTTTCCAAGCCCACAGCCATCTCTTGAGAATGCAGAGCAAAACACTAACCAAAATAAATCAGGGACTCAGAAGGTTACAGTGCTGTTAAGGCAGTAACATTGTAAATCATGCAAACCAGCAATTATAACCACCTCCCCCC